GAATACACAGCACCCCTGAAACATTTATAAACTGTATTATAAATTATTTTAATGTGATGTCTCAGTGAGGCAGGTGAGCACCATAACTGAGGCAGGGCAGTTGGAATGTGTACCTCAGTTGAGAAAGGAAATCACGTCCTCAGGGTTAACACTAAAATTAAGATTCCAGCTTGAAGACAAAATGTTTGGCCTGTAGAACATGACTTTTAGCAGGGCATATCAGTAAAAATAGAGAATCTTTCATTATCTTAGTGTATTCTTGTATAACAACCCCCTTTTCCCTCCTTGCTACCTAATAGCATCAGTGATTTAAAGGTTTGTATTGGGTGTGGTTTTTCTTCTGAAATTTAAGGGATTTTAAATACCTGAGGGATATCCTGTTCTTCTCCAGCTCTCTGCACACATTACAGGTGTGCAGTTGCTGAAATACAGATCCTTAAAGCTGAGCTCATCCTTTCTAACCCTGCATATCCAAGCGAGCAGGCAGCATCAGTCTTGGCAGCTCCTGGACTGGGCAGCACTTGCCATAGCAAGGATGCAGTGTTTGGAATAGTGTCCAGAAATATTTATACTGTAGAAACATCGATGGGAGAAAGCCCTGCTGTGCTGGAGGCTGTGCAGATTCAGAGAGGCAGCCCCAGGCAGCCTGGCATACACAGGAGCATGGGTGAAGGGGCAGAGAGGGGCTGAGCATGTGGAAGCCCAGCCAGGCTGTACCAGGCATGCAGTGCGTTGTTACCAGCACAGGGAAGAAGGGACAGCTGAAGAGTCAGTCAGAGCAGGAGGGGAATTCCTGCCCTTGGACAAGGAAGACATAAAATCTGCAGAGTGGGAACTGCATGTTAATTCTCTGCAGACAAGTGTGCCAGAATTATTAAACTCATGTAGCACTGTTTAAGTTGTCTTATCCAGATGTTGAGGACCACACAGCTGGATCAGGCTCCATGTATACACATGTTCCTGAGGGCAGTGCCAGGGTCCTGCTGCCATTCCGACAGCATCAGCGTTGGTCGCAGCCACGCAAACATTCCCCTCTTTCAACTTCCTGGGTGACCCCAGTGACATCTGCTTGGTCATTATGGGGGATGAGCGTGAGGCACCTCCTGACTGCAGCGAGCATTAACAAGAATTACACACAGAGCACCTCATGCAAGCTGTAAAAATTACTGTTCATTATAAAGAGAAATAAATCACAGCTTTGTAATCTGGCTGCCCCCAGTTATATTTACAGCCCTGAGGTTCTACATGGAGTCGTGTTCTCTCCATCCTTTACCTCCTTTTTCATGGAAGAATGCTCTCATGAATGCTGTCACTGAAAGAAAAAGTTACAAGAGCTTCCTCCTAGAATTGGTTCAGTTTAGCTTCATCACAGTAGCGCAAAGAACATATTGCAGCGCTGTGGTGGCCTGTTTTTCTGGCTTTTATTAATCCAGAAACCTTAATGATGAACAACATTTGTGTCATTGTCTACACAAATTTAATTTGTTTATGCAGCAGTTCAGTTAATCCTGCAATCTGCTTTTCTCAAATGAGGACAGATAATGGAGACACCGTTCTTTACAGGTCTTCAGGCTTTTAAATTCTGATAAAATCAGGATTCTTCACTGGGTCTTGCCACAGCTCTGAATTAAGCCACTTTAAATGTAATTACTGAAGCTGGCTGTACATCAGGAACATCCATTAAAAGAATTGATTGACCATGCTGTTACAGGAGGCATTTTATGAACAAACGATCATGATGGGTCCAGAACTGTAATTTATAAAGGCAAAAAAGCAGGTAAATACTTTATTAGTGGTTAATGAGAGGTTCACAAGATAACTAAATTTCTGCTTTTTTACCCAGCTACTTCAGGGAACCTTGGGCCATGGCCATCTATCATGATCGGTTTATTGATCTCCAGAAGGAACTGCGCCAAATCCTGATGTCGGAACAGGTAAGAAAAACGACCAGCGAGTGCATTTTATTATTTAGGTAATTTGTTAGTGTTGTTCACTTCAGTTTCTTCTCCCATCTTTCTCCTGAAGCTTTATGTTTCTGTTTAGCTCTCTTCTCTGGGGAGCCTGAGCAGACTGTACCTCACAGGGGTTCACCAAGTGCAGCAGATTGTTCAGTTTTGTTGTTTGGGTATATTCTGAAATCTTCCAGTAGAACTTTAAGTCGCTTTGTTTTCCTTCACAACATTTTTGCATTATAGATGCAGCTTAGTACGAGTGCCCAGTGGAATCTGGAGGCTGCCTTGTTCAGCTCTCCCCTTGGGTTTACTAGTGTTCCCTAATAGGAGCATACTACGGGTCACCCTACACCTGTCTCAGCTGAGCCCCTGAGTAGGTTTTTGGACACCTACCCACAGGGAATGGCTTGCTTTTGTAGCCAGAAGAGTGAAAGCAACTGGCTTTTTCGCGATAAGTGGATTTCCTGAGTAAGGGTGAAATTAAAATGTTTGCTAATGCTGTTTACAGCTTTGGCCTTAGCACCATAGACAGAGGCATAAAGCCTCAGCAGCCTCTAAATTTGCCTGCTCAAAATCCAAAGCCACTGCACTCTACAGGAAGGGCTCTGCCAATGGCAGGTTTCCAACAGCCCCTGGAGCTGCTTCCCCCACCCCTTAGGAACTTCTGGCTGATCTCAAACAGAATCTGTGGTCTGATCTCTATGCTTCCAACCCACGACCTGGGACCAGCTTGTCCTCCCCCTGCTCCCCCTGCCTTTGCCTTTGTTTGACCCCACGCAGTTCCCAGCGACAGCAGTGGTTTTTAAGGATGTGCTCACGAGGTTTTTAACTGTGCAGGAAATAAGGAGAGGCGAGTGTAAGTGGAGGCAGGGTGGCAGGAGGAAAGGAGGTTGCTTAGCCTGTGGCCCACACATCCCAAACTGCCATGCTGCCACGTCCCAGCTGCAGCCATACGCATGCTCAACCCTGCCTCCTCGCAGAGGGGCTTGGAGCAACTTGCCTCCTGTTGTCCTGACCCTGAAAGTGTCTCAGTGCAGTTTTAATTTAGATTCTCTTTGAAGAGATCTATAAAAGAACACAAAATGAAGTTCTGCGCAGAATGAGGGGCCTGATGTCGTTTTCTTGCCATCATTCAACCACATTTTGCATGCTGTAAGTGTGGACAGCTTCAGAGAGAGGGAGGGGGATTGGTGCCTTACAAATTAAGGACTCACTGGCCTTTCTCTGTCCTTGTGGCAGCAGTCCTGACACACACAGTCTCCCTGCAGACTGGAAGCAGCTCTGTGAGTCAGAATTGCTCATGTGGATGTAGGTGATAGTATCTGCATCTGAATGCAAATTTGGGGTTTTGGATTTTTACTTGGATTTTTTTTTTTTGCAGTGATTTTAACTGTATTTACTAAATGTCACATTTATATGTTTTCATTGGGTGTTCCTTCTGGGCATGCTGCCAGATACAGAGTAGGTACCATGTGCTTATGGAGTATCTCTTGACTGGCTGGTATTTCTATAAGGAGTAAGAGACCTACTGTCTTTGCTTCCTGTTGCTCATATTCCAGCTCACTTCAGCATGCAGAAAAAAATACTAATGAAGTGTAAAAATGAGGGAAAAACACCCCTTTGAAAGAGATGTTTAAGAACTGTGAAGATAAAAGCATAGGAGTCAGGCATTTCTGGTTACAGTTTCCAGAAACTGGAAATCAGTGTCATGCAATAAGGGTCATATTTACAGAAATGTTTGCTAATGGAAGCAATAACTGCACAGAAAATCAAGGTACAGTGGGACAGGGACTGTGCCTTTAGTCTGTGTTTTGAAACTGCCACCCAGGGCTGCCCTCACTGCACACAAGGGCGTGTTTACCGCTCGGAGATCACAGCCATGTGTTTGTGCCGACGTGCATAGCAAACATGCAGATGGTTGGGCTGGGGTCTGCACCTCCATCAGCTGTTGGATGCTGCAGCGTGCCGAGGGCACACGTGCCTCGCCAGACCTTCTGGAACGGGAACTTGTCCTCACTCAGGAATAATAGCTCGGTTCTGCCGCTGGGGCTGCACCCAGACTCAGTTGAAAACAGTAAATTGGACACCAGGGGAGAATTCCTCAGCAAAAACCCTTGGCCAGGCCGTGTCCGGGACCGACGGGGATTCCATAAGGGTTCCGTTCCACACAGCCCTTGCACCTGCAGGTGATCATTGGGGACGGAGG